GGTTCTGAACGAGCCGCCCGAAACTCTCGTTCCGGATTGAGACCATTCTGGAAGCGATCTACCGATTCAGATCGACCATTTCGTATTTACGCTGCAGATCCCCAGTCCGCTGAAACTGGCGTCTACGAACATTTCTGAGCCGAATCAAGAGTTTGGTGTGGGAATCAATTGCTTGAAACTTACCCCTCACAGGAACTCGTCGAACGCACTCTTCGTCAGCCACGGATATGGCTTGATGGAGACCCTCCAGGGCCCGGTCGATGTCATCCACTGTGTCGAGCGGTGGGTTGTCGTCGATGTGGCGGTCGACCACGCGTCGAAACTGGACCCAGTTGACTCGATGGTAGTCCTTCCGCTGGCACGGTGCAGGGGCCACGTTGTAGCCCAGCTCGGTCAGCACCGGTTGGTGGTCCGAACTCAGGTCGTTGACGGCAACCGGCTTGGCTAATCTGGTGTTTGCCAAGAACAGGTCCAGCGTCGATGGGTTGCCCGTCGGTGAGGTGAAGGTTGGTTCGTCCGGAAACCAGACGGAATAGAGACCATGCTGGGAATGGTCGAATAGCAGGCGGCCGTTCTGGTTCACCACACGAACGTGCAGTTAGCTACCTGTCATATAGACAACCAGCTCTGCCGGTACCATATTTTCTCACTTCTCATTGGTTACTGTGTATAGCCAATAGAAAGCGAGAAAATATGGTACCGGCAGAGCTGGTTGTCTATATAACAGGTAGCTAACTGCGCCTTCGCATTAGTTGCGATTCATCCGTTCAACTGTTAACATCGGTGTCGATGTCATCGTGTGATAACATCCAGGGCCTGCCATTCATCGTCTGGCTCGACGTGGTGGTGTCAAGCTCATCTCCGGTCTGATGTACGAGGAAACCCGAGGTGTGCTGAAGGTGTGCCGAGAAAATGTGATCCGTCACATAATACGCAGCTGCCTACACGTCATCATCATCTTCCAAAGGCTTTACTACTTTTCAGGGCCACCAACATTTTCCAAAAGAGTTGATTTTCTGAATATGTTCCAAATAAAATTCATATCAAAAGGTTCTTTTCAGGGCATCATAGTCATACTAAAGAGTATAAAAAGAGAGAACCCCGCTAAAATTCCTATTCCTATACAGCCAAAAAATAGTAATATCGATCAATGTAATTCAAGCTGATGTATGAAATAATGATGTAATAGCAAAAAGCAGATACAACATTACATCAATGGATGTAATTTTGTTCGCAAAATCGATGTACATCGTACAACGTTATATTACATAACCGATGGATTGACCTGGTTGCAGCAGTTTGGATGTAATATTCAACAATTTTTTTTTCTGTGTACACAAAACACAAGCTCTTGCTGCAGTTAACAAAAATATTTATTATATCATACCACGTAGTCCTACGTCATCATTGCGTACAACCCCATTGGGCTGTCCCTTGTAGTTTATTTTTTATTTTTTTATCTTTGTTGGGCAATGGCGGAAAATTCTTGCTGCATCCAGGGATTGGATCAACAGGAGCCTTCGGTTTTGTTTTTTCATCCCCATTACCCTGGGAATTTGGCAATCGTCTGGAGGTGACTTTAGTTTTCTTACGGCGCACTTTCGGGGAGGGGCATTTTCTTTTTGAGGAACCGTCTATTTTTGAAGGTGCGTGTACCACCGTAGAATCACCTTCATCGGATGAGTCAGAGTCCGATTCTTCAACTGACAAAACCGAAAATTGGTTTGCATCTTGGACGGCTGATGCAGCCTTCAACATTTGAGCATATGTCTGCTTGGAGCGTCCAGAGATTGAACGCTGCACTTTATCGGAGTGCTGTTTGTACATCGGGCACTCCTGCAAGGGGTGAGGATTCTCGCCACAGTAAGCACATTTTACTGATTCTTTGTGGCAAGAATCCTCTTTGTGGTTTTCACCACATTTGCCACAACGAGTTTTGTTGCCGCAATGGCTGACCGAGTGTCCCAGCCTTTTGCAGTTGGTACAATTATATACCCTCTGTACAAACAGTCACACTGGAAAAAAAAGCACCATTAATTTTAACAAAGTTTGGGAGAACTGAACCTGCGAAAGTCACCCGGAACGAGTCTGAATGTTTATAAACTTTTTTACTTTTTTACTTTTTTAGGCATGTTTCAAGTCCTCGACAGTCAGACTCGCGTCGGAGACCACGCCTTCTATCTCCACATCTCGAGAAGGGATGTAGATGTTATACTCAACACTAAAAAGCTCGTGTTCAGCAATTTTATTTGCCACATCATAAGTCGGTGCTTCTACTCGCAGTTTGTTGAATCTTTCTTTGTGTACCAAGATTCCCGGATACTTACGCAGCAAATCTCTCGTTATGTCGAGAGTTTTCAAAGGTTTATTTTTGGGCCGAAAAAAGACAACCCATGGTCCTTTCGAAGACGGTTCATAGTATCTGGTTCGCGTAACGTAGGCATCGGAAGATGCCATAAGTGTTGCGCAAAAGCGGTGCGCAACCACTTAAGAAGGAAAAAAAAATTAAAACCATCACTAATTAATTAATTTTAATTACTAGTAATTAAATTTTTTGTCCGACGTACGAACAAATCAAAAAGAAAAAAAATCGAAAAAAAAAACTTATATCTACTTGCAAAAAGTTGTCTCACTATGACCCATACTCCCCTACCAAGGGTGAGAGACAGAGTCACGCGCCACGAGGCAAAATTAAACTACAATAGGGAGGCAATGGACTTGCAAAATGTATTGTCTAATACTTATGCCGGTTGTAAACAACCTATCAGCCGTTGCAGCTAGATGGTCCGTTTGCTGCTGCTGGTGGTGATGGTTGGTGTTGGTGGGTCGGCACGATGATGAAAAAATGGCTTGACGACCGGATGGATTACCGGGGTGAATTAAAGCTGGATGGCAACTCCAAGGGGCTCGGCCCATGGAATTCCACTTCCTCTGTTGCACATTGGTCACTTGGGGCACCCAATTGGGGGGTGAAAAAACCGCTCGGGCGGAAAAAAACACCGAAAAAAACTAGATGCCGCGCGACTGAGACCGGGACGTTGTTAACCGACTGAGTGTTCAACTAGGAATGAATTAAACACATATAATATCATAAAGATGGCGAAGTCTATAGGGATCAGGTCCGGCGAACTCGCCGGCCACTCCGAGTTTGAAATGAACCCTGAAAAATGTTCCACAATCCAGAGCTGGGTTTTCTTCGCTTTGTGAGTCGGCGCCGAGTCATGTTGGAAAACTCAATCCCTGGAACCAACATGACGACGTGCTCACGGCTTGACGAATTTCTGTAGAACTTGTTCCCGATATGTATTTTGGTAGATCTTCACTTCTTCAGGGATAAAAACCAGCTAAGTCCGGCCATCAAGGGTGATTCCGGCCCAAACCATCACCGATGCTGGTTTCTGTCGCGTGGTGACCGTCAGCGCTTCGGCATGGGTTAATGACTGTTGAAGTAATGTAGCAGTTTGCAAGCATTGCGTAGTGAGAGAGTTCTGACCTATTATGACCACCATCCAAAAAGACTTGGTCATCTAAACAACTTCATTCCGCATCGAACGTTCGACTGTTTCGGTCTAGTGTTGCTTGCACTCCGTTTTCAGTACTATAGTTTTTTTTCTTATTGAGGTTTTTTTTTCAATCCGCTTTCATACTGAGTGGTTCGAGCAGTCATTTCCGGCAGATGAGCTGTTCATCTTTAACCGTCAACAAATTTCATCATGCCACTTCAAAATCAAGGTCATAGAGTTCGTTAGCCGGCGAGCCGCAATCACTCGAGGGCAGGCATGGAAAATCATTTGCATTCATTTCATACATTCATTTACATTCATTTTCCTATAACTTTTTTCATCAACAGCATTCCGCAAAATAATGTACAGAGCTTTTGTAGGTTTTGTTATTAACTACAACTTTTGCTCATATCTCAAATTCTTATCTCTTGTCGATGCACCTCCATTCGCTACACCACGTTGGTTTTCTTTCTCCATTCGATGTTGTACAGGCTGCATCCGATCCTTCTGCTTGGGGCAGGAATTCATTCGATGTCCCTCCGTTTTACAAAGGAAACACACATTTTTGTTCCTTTGATAGCATACGTTCCCTGGGGCGATCCAGGCGTAGTGGTTAACATCCATACCTCTCACGCCAAAATGCCGAGTTCAAATCTCACCCCCGAACAAGTCACGAATGACCCAAGAGTGTTAAGGCCGGCACACAATGGATAAGTTTTCAGGTTTTTTGACAGTTAGCCCATATCTGTCAAAAAAAACACTGAAAGTTATGCATTGTGCGCCAGCCTTTAAAGTGACTACAATAAAAAAAAGAATATGGTCCCCTTTCAATTGAGCAGTGTGGGAAACTTCATTTTTTCATCCACACTGTGCGGTATGAGCTTAAGAATGTGTGAAATGAGCTGTATTAATGCTTTATCCGCAAACTTAACTTCAAGTTGGAATTGAAAATTCTGATTTTGATTTCAGGGGTTCATTGACCTTTCTGACGTTTATAACACGCACACTTGCGTAATCCCATTTTCAAGTGTGAAGTATGTTATCCTCACTTGCACTTCAGCCAAAAATGTTGGTATTGTTATCCTCACTTTCCGACCATCAATACTCTTGCGCATAGAATGGACTATGTGTGACCTTTAAAATGTGCGCACTCGGTGCGTACCGTACACACGAACCGCCCACTCGCAACCACCAGTTATCATTTCAATATTCAGCGGTTATTCAATATTTTGAAATCTTATTAAGATTTAAAGGGGAGAAGTAGATAGCTTAAAACCTTACACTGTCTTACAAGGTCTTATTCGTACATACTTTATGATACGTAAGAAATTCCCTGCATGGTAAGTAACAGTAAGAAATTATGAAGACTTCTCCTTTCCTGTTATCATCTTTCATAATTTGAGCAAGATCCCTTCCACAGAAGAGTGTTATGATGTGTTTAAAAAGCTATGCTTTTTTCTTTCCTCAATGCAATTGAAATACAATAAATAAAAATGCTTTTTTAAAACCATGACACAAACAACAGTCGATAACAGTATATTTCGCTAGTTGATCCAATTAAACCATTTAACATAATTGAGTTGAAACCAAACTTATATTTTTACAAATACTACACACAACTAATTGGCTATAACCTCCTGAATGATTTGGTTCAAACCGGTCAGTTTCAATAGACCCCAAATCAGAAGCCAGATCATAAAAGCTTTCGCAACCTTATCCAAAACCCACAGAGCTTTAAGTTGCATACGGGCTTTTGGCAGTGAGGAAAGAGGTTCTTTCAAGCAATATTGTCTACCACCGAGAATAATCCGCTTGAGGTAATCCTTCGTATCGATCCTATCAATATCCATATCGAATAGCTCAAAATCATCTGGAGTAAGGTTTTTGGCTATGGCTTGATAATGTTGCGATTTAAAGTCCCACTGACGTGTTGTGAAAAATTGCAGCAAATCTAACCCCTGTGAAATCATTGTCTGGACTCGGCACATGCTGCAATTGGTGAAAATTAGTAGTTGATTTAAAAGCAAATTTGCAATAACTTACAATCGTTTTTGCCCAAAGCAAAACATCAAGAAGTCTATGAAGTAGGCAGGTAACCAGTGGAACATAATAACGCAAAAGGTATGGTAGAATTTATTAGTAGTGATTCCTCCATCGGGGTACCATACTCCAGCTTCAAACGGATATTCGTAGGCGGTTGCTTTTCCCCATTCCAAAACTTCTGTCCATGTGGTTCGTTTCGTTTCTCGACAGGTTACGTTGTACACCGGAATCTCTAATGGTCTACAATAAAGAAAAAACAATGTAAAATTAAATTCAGTCCATGCAGCTCTAGAAACCATGTTGCTTACAATTCTTTCATCTGCCCAAGAGTATATGCAATGGTTATGAGTCCGTTTATTGCCAAGTCAACTGGGATAACCTCGGCGTTGTATTCTCCATTACACAGCATTGACCTCATAACTCCTTTGCCTCCTGCAACCATGATACCAACGGGGCCGTTTAAATTGTCGACCCATCCTTCAACAGGTTCCTTATTGGCGGGAGTCACTGTAATTTAAATATATATATATAATATAAGGTTGCAATTGCTCATATAACCAAATTTTTTTCCTCAGATTATAAATTCGATATGGGTCGTTCCTACTCAAGTGTGTATGGTTCAAATCGGTAAGATTGACCACAACTTTATACCATCAGAAATTTTATGCCTCAGAAAATCCTGGCGGCGCTGCACTATAGGAAATTTCCATACAAGCAGACGGACAAAAATATTTTCTTCATTTTTGCTTCAATGTAAGATGTTGAATGGTTGTAATTATTAAATAAGTGACGAGGAACACATTTTAATGATTCACGAACAACTTTTAATTAGAACTTAGTTTTTAATTGATCTTGATAATATTTTAAAGTTTTTTCTGTAACATTTACTTACGGACAACATATTGTGAATTTTACAACATAGCTTTTATTTAAATGAATGGTTATATTTATTCATTCTTTCTAGTTTACCATTCTTATAAGGTAAAAGCACAGACAAACAGACATAACACTCGAAAGTTGTTCATAGAACAAGCATTTAACGGACAATTTAAAAGTATCGTAGTTGGTAGTACCGCCACCTGTGGCGCGCATAGTCGATTTCTTTGCGTTTGACCACAGACAAACAGACGTAACTCTTCATTGTGTATCTTCGTTCGCGCATTTAACGGTTGATTTGAATATTATCAGTTCCGCGAACTACTCGCCGCAGCGCTGGCATCGGATCACTTTGACGTTTCTATACATTCTATATAACTTTTATGCAATATTGTTTGCGAGTTAGCGAGCAAGCTTGTTTTCCGCGAGAAGCCTGAAAGATGTCGCTACTGAGGTCCTATGTTTTGAGATACTATGTTTTCAAGAAAAACCTTTTCAAAGAGTTACGTCTGTTTGTCTGTGGTTTGACGTTTACACACTACCGCCATCTGTTCAGCGTAGTGCCCACCACAGTGTACTTAACAGATGGCAGTAATGTTTTAGCGACGATGTTTTACAGTGAGAAATATTCAATGTGTTATGTCTGTTTGTCTGTGGTAACAGAATGAGTAAAAAAGGAGGGGGGGAATTAAAATTAACTTTTGCGAGGACGACTCCGGCGTAGTGGTTAACATCCGTACTTCTCACGCCAAAGTTACGAGTTAAAATCTTACCCCGGACAAGTCACGAATGACTTAAGAGTGTTAAAGTAACTATAATAAAAGAAATTAACTGGGAGAAAAGATATACATTTTATTTTAATCTTTTTACCCTTCTTACAAAGAAGGGTATAGATATGACTTGAAAAACCGACTATCGATCCGAGGCCCGGAGGGCCGAGTGTCATATACCATTCGACTCAGCTCGACGAGATCGGAACATGTCTGTGTGTGTATGTGTGTGTATGTAACGAAATGAATGCGCTCACGTTTCTCAGCAACCGCTCAACCGATTTGGACAAACTCGGAGCCAAATGATAGGTCTTGGGGTCCCATTGAACGCTATTGAACGGTTTTGAAATCGGTGAACCGGTTCCGGAGATATGGCCGGAATAAGATCCGGTGAATATGGGCCTTCACGCTGGATTTAACGGAAAACGTATTAAAACCATCATGCGACACATCAAATTACTACAGAATTCAAAAATAAGATCAATGCAAGTCGTGTTAAGTGTTCCAGACCACATTGGACACACTTGGACATGTTCCGGGTACCCCGGGGAAGTTGCTTGAATATGAATTGAATTAAAACGATACGAAATATGCAGCAGAAAAGAAGCGTATCCATGCCGATATATACCATACACAGAAAAACAAAACTACCCACCGCTTGGGTTTTTAAACTTAAATTTGAGTTATTCGACCTCTGCCCGTTTCATTTCCTCTCGCTATTGTTGTCAAAAATAGAACGAAAGATTCGACTCAACCGTCTAGTTCCGTACGAGAAGCCAAAATTGAGTAATATGTGATATACCCAAATTTGAGTTAATTGAACTTAATTTTGGGTAGAAAAAATTGAAAATAACTTAGCGATGGGTAATTTTTTTTGCCGTGCTTAAATGCAAACTACTTTGAGCCGGTTTACCCAAATTTGGCTTATCGTACGGAACATGGGAGATGAGTGAAAAGAACTTAATTTTGGGTTGTTTTGAATTTCTGTGTAGACTAGGGTATCTACGTTGGATAGAAATAATTCTTCTAATTTGTCTTTTTTGTTCATTACGATTGGAGTTGCCCCACAAATAGGATAGTTCTGCATTAATAAAATAACACAAATATATGTTAACACCTTACCGTCAATCATACTTAGTGCAAATTTAAAATCAACTAAGATTGTGTTTCCGTTTAATATATCAAATTTCACTGGTATTAGTTTTTGCATTTCTTTCTCCACGTCTAGTTTTGCAGCAAGAATTATCTCTCTACTCCCATTCACGAATTGTAGGATTCACCGTCTGTGAGATATAAAAGGTGGGACGATGTTTCTATCAACGCCGTCACTGCACCCCAATGCTGCCATGCTACCAACGTCAAGGTAACACTCAAAAATATTATTAAACACAGAATGTATAAAATTTATACATTTTTCGATTAGAGGCTTTTTACCCATCACTATGTATAAAAAGTAATCTAATGTAGATTTTCATTTTATACTAAATATTAATACTAGCAGAGGAATCTTTTCTGTGCTTTGCTGTATTGCCGGAGACCATCAGCATTCCAAACAAGGAAGAAAATGTTCTGGACTATTGGAAATAAGAAAATGTCTTTTAGACCTTCTGAATCAATCCAAAGAAGTGAAGGTGAGTAGATTTAAGCCCTGCTTTAAGCTTTTAGCTAAATTTCTGGATGCAACTCTCGATTTTAAAATTGTGCGATTTATAAACCATTAAATGGAAATTTTCTATTTTCGAAATAGATAAACCAGAGCGGGTTGTCTTGTTACGCCATATTCAACCGGAACGGCGAGGGATATTGTGATCCGATATGTCCACCAGCAAAGGCACCATGTGTAGCGCCGGTTCTGTTGGGATTGTCATGGGCTGTAAACCAATAAGAACGTTATGGCCTAGATGCTGGAAATCTGCAGCCCGGATGTACATCAATGCGTACAACGAGTACCGGAATATTGTGATGTTAACAAATGGGAAGAGATTGTTGGCATAATGAGACGATAAGTTTTTTAAACATGTAAATAATAAAGATAACTGGTTGAAATGCGATATTTCAAAAACAAACAAAAACACTCAAAATCAATATCGTCCCCATTCAGATTAAACAGCGTAAGCATAAATGCAAACTATACAAATTACACATAACAGGGATTTATACTTGCCTTCGTATAAAGCATTTTTATACTAAGTGTGTTTTCTCTCTGTTTATACCAAGCTATGCGTCGGTCAGGAGAGTTGCAATTTAGCGTAACTTTTAATCTATTTAGATTTGAAAATATTGTGAGTGAATGATCACTATATCATTCTCTGTACGAAACCAAACAATAAAAACATGCGAAAGTAATAGTCCGTGATGCGAGTTATTTCATTGTCGCGAAACGCCATTGGAACATCGATGAGTATTGGTGAGTGTTGATGAGAATACATCAGAATCATCTTGACATTCGTCTAGCAGTTTTTGATGATACTGGGAATAACCGGTTAAACCATCCATGCCCCACTCAATAGAATCAATTCTGCATATTCCATTTGATGTCATAAACTCGTTGAGTTCTATCTCAATAACTTTGATGATTCATTGGGGTGTATGTTCCAACAGAGCCTGTAGTTTCACTTTTGTTTTGGACGCAGTTCCTCAATGGATTGAATTGGAGGGACATATACTTTTTTTTAAATGTCCCGATAACGTTGTATGCCTTTGGATTTACTTCCTCGTTGTCGACGAGACGACGCTTGCTTCTTTAGCTGAGCTCATCAAACTAAATACTAGATTCAAGCCAACTCCGATGATCTGAATAAAATCCCCCTTTTTTTCGTTGAGATTGACTCCACTTCTCTCTGTTTTTACTGACGAGTATGTAAATTTTATTCTGCAGTCATGTTTGCATTTCCACGTGGATATGATATTTTTCACAAATATACTTGAAGGCTTTTTGAACGTTTTGGCTATGCGTTAGCTTTACGTCAAAAAATGAAATAATAATTATATTATTCATGTGCACACTTGTTTTTAACCGTATCGAATGAAACTAGAAATAGCCCATAACAAATTATATACGACTCTGAACCCAATGTAGGTAGCTTCAACAAGTATTGAACGATAGGAAGGAATACTGGGTAGCAGATGCCTTATTCTACCTATGATACATAATAAAGCCCACAAATAACAGGTATAAATATAAATAATCATATAAGCACCATCACAATACATTCTTTATACGTCGTGTTGTTTTGCTTTTCATATCAACAATTAAATTAGGTCCGTTGTTCAACAACATATTTAAATATAACAAATCAGTTTCATCGTAAAAATTTAAAATATGGTAAATGTTGGCTTCGGCAAATACTACTATTCTCGGCAACCCATTTTCAAACGGTAATTGCACTGAATTATCCCAGCATAACATCTTGTTAGATGTATTCAAACGATTCCTTAGTTATGTAAAAATCTGGCATGACAAATCAAAATGTAATCAGTTTTTAGCTGATTAACAAACAAATTAGATTTTGATTTGTCATGTCAGATTTTTACATGATGCAGCTATTTTAGACTGAAGAGAATACATAAATTCCCCTATTACGCGAAAATCATGTTATTACAGGTTATTACATGAAAATCTGCTAATCTAATCAAATTGGATTGTTTAACTTCGAAAAATATACCGATTTTTATACATCATCTGATAGAGCTTCGTTTTCTGAGCACAGCGATATTTTTATCGATCATCAGAAGTTTGGTTTTCCAATAGTCATTTCCTTATAACTTGAAACAGCTTGTACACAATCAGATTCATACAAATTTGTCAAATTTTGGTGTGATTTGAAACCGCTTGAGCACTGTGGAGCAAACATTTCAAATTGTGCATCAGTCTAATGAGCATGAAGACGAGCATGGGCTTCCTTTAGCTCAGTCGGTAAAGGCGCAGCTACAAAGCAATTCCATTCTGGAGGTGGCTGGGTTCGATTCCCGATCCGGTCTAGGAATTTTTCGGGTTGGAAATTTTTCGACTTCCCTGGGCATAGAGTTTGATTGTAGTTTGCCACACAATTATACTATACTAATGCAAAAATGGTAAGGCATCGAACGCTCTCAATTAATAACTGTGGAAATGCATCTATAGATCACTAAGTTGAGAGCACGCAATTAGCTAAAATGCGATAAGCATTAAACTTGAAATGCGAAAAAGAAGAAAAAGGCGTGCATAATGACGGTACAACTCGTTATTGCTACTCTGTGATTGACCAGATCTTGCAAAATTTGCACAACGAACTAAATGAATATTGGGATTAGCAATTCCTTCTCAGTGTACAATCTCCGGTGAATCAGTTCTCAAGGTCAATAACAGCGCTGGCCACGTTGCGATTATCAGGGAGGGAAATTATTGTTAATTCGACACTCGTACTAGAGGCCGAGTACACCACTTAAGTTGTCACGGGAAGGACGTTTTTGTTAGTGTTAGAATAAAACATTGTGTTATGATAACATAATGAGTTATTACTATGCTATTGATTTATTTTATTGAACAACAAACCAATATCTAAAAGAGATATGATAGCAAGCATTGATACTATTTTGATATGTAGTGTCACCCGGAATATTACTACATTATATCCATGAACAAAGTTTACTGAAATTTGAAGTTTTTTTTAAATATATAATTTGATAGATCTATCAACATTTGGTTTGTGTTATTGAAACTGCAGTATAGAGACTGATTATTGGATGGTACCCAAATTATTAAAAAGGGGACTGGTTTCATACCACTCGGATTTCGATATTTTTTTATGAATTTGACCTGAAATATCTTCCACATATTGGAAATCTTTTCTGCTTGAAGTGTACTATTCATAAAATGATTTGAACGAAATCGTCATGTATATTTCGGTTCCTTGAGACCGACACATGTAAGTGGCCCTTTTGACATAAGAATCAGTTGAAAGAGACGAGAAAATCAATCCAATCTAAAGTTCTCTTCGTCGAGTTGCTTATGTTTCGGTTTGAGAACACTTAATTTTACCTGAAGTGCTTGTTTACGTTTAATAATTTACGTTCAATATGGATTACATCTCGTGTAAAAATAGCTATTTCTAATAGCGAATTCGTTTATTATTCAGTTCCAACCTGGATCGGGTATCAAGATTGGGTCTGCTTGTTTTCTGACAAACGTCAGTTTGCTCGTTTGTTTTTAAAACCTAGATCAGGTTGAGGTTCGCACTGACAAAAAGTTCGGTTTCGCACTGGGTTGGAACTGGTTCCAACCCCGATAATAAACGAATTCGCTATAAGTGTGTATTTATTATTGAATTATGGTCAGACGAGTAAACATAGGCATTTCTGATCATATGGTTCGTAAAATAATTATTGTTTGATATTTATAAAGTGCATGTTATGATGATCATTTCCTTTAAAAAAAATATAACAAAAATAATATATATATATATATATATATATTGAAGAACACTTTGGTCAGATAGAAATAAAAATGGATAACGGATAATGGATGTTCTATAAATTCAAAAGGATATGGACGAATTAAGTAAGTCTGTATGTAATTAATATATACTTACCGATGCTGGGTCTTACTATACAAACAGGTAATTGAGGGTAACTATCCCTAACGAGGCATTCAGTCAATCGTTTTGTGTAAGTATACGTGTTGGGATGAGGTTTCAGCAAGTTGGGCGTTATAAGATCAAGAGTTTTCTCGTCCATCCATTCAACTGCTCGCATCAAATCATACGGAGTGTGATGGAAATCATACACTCGCTCATTCAATACTTCCTAAAATCAATAAAAGAATTGCATTATTATTGACTGCATGCGAAATGCATGATTCAATATTTGCTCTAACCTTATCACAATAGCAGAACGCTGTAGACAGATGAAGTAATACTTGCAGCTTCTTCATCTGTTTGCACAAGTCTAGTACGCGTTTTGTGCCGACGGTGTTCATCTCAATTGCATCCTTAAGAGTGGCCTCCAATTTGAGTGTTGCAGCGCAATGAAATACTATTTCAGCTTCATTAATTAGCTTATCTATGTCGTCACGAGAAATTCCTAATCCATCGAATGTGATGTCACCTTGTATTGGAACCAGTTTCTTGAACACCTCCGGTTTCTGGTTTTTGATGCGTTGAAACACCTGAAATATAAAATTATCATAAAGGGCTGCCTTTTGGTGAGCAACGCAATGGTGTAGCTTTAATATTGTGCCGACACAAATGATGACCTAACACACTCAAAAAATTTATCACATATCTAATGGATGAAATCCATGTGAATTTCACATAGCTTTCCTGTGATCACATAGCAGCAAATCCCACCACAAAATCACATGAATATTATGAGGCCGATGAAATTCATATGAAAAATCACATACAATTAATGTGATCGCATAAATGTTATGTGTAATTCAGATGAATTCCATTAATTTTAATTATGAATGAAAATCATGTGCGTTTCCAATGGAAGCTACATGAAAACTTTGTTCGGTGCATATATTTCTCAATCAGATCTCCATTTTTAAACACCCATTAAACCAACAGGTAATGCGGCCAGAATATGGATACAAAAATTCAGAAATGATGGATTTTGCGAAACTAGCACCTTTCCGCACCTTTCTTACGTAAAAGTACCCAACGGAAAGTTCACTTTTACCTACTTTTGACTAGTTTGTCTCCTTTTCTCCTTCTAATGTTGTCAAAAACGGAGGAGTAAAACCACCCAACATGGGTAGTAAAGTGTGGGAACGCAACGTTGAGTATAATCATATTTACCTACTGTTAGGTACAACTAGCTTACTTTTGGTTAAAAAGCCAGTGGAAAATTCCATACGAATTGTACACAAGTAAATGAAATTTACTTTGACCCGCTTTCCTACTGTTGGGTTCCTGGCACTATAGTGCCGAGATGAGTGAAAAGAACTTAATTTTGGGTACTTTTTCTAACCGTGTAGTTTTGTACACGACTAACACTTGAAAAGGGATTATGCAAAAATGATACACATCAATAGAAAAACATATATCTCGCGAACGATTTGTTTGATCGAGATGGTGTCTACGGCGAAGTTGCGGACAAGTATTGTGCCTTTCAAGAAAAATATATACTGTACAAAATTATTGTGTTATTTACAAAAAATCAAAATTATTAAAAAAATAAATTTACTCAAAATGCATATTTTTTAAATTATTTTTTATAAGGCAATATTGTAGTTTAGATTAAGTGATACCTACTGACAGTGTGTATTTGCTAGGCAATTCATAAACAAAAAAAGTTATGAATTATTGAAAAAAGTACTATCTTTAAAAATACTACCTACAGTTATCGAATATCTTTCAAATGGTGTTATTATAAAACACATTAAATTTACAACAAAAAAGCTCTTTGTGCTTAAATTGCCCAAAGTTGTTATTTTCGAGATACTCGTAGGTTAAAATTCACTTATCGCAAAATGTGAGCAATTTTCACCATTTTGAGATGTTATTCGTGAGTGTTCAATCTTAAAAATATTTTTAACGAAAATCCCAATTAATTTCCTTAAACTTTACAGTTCACAGTTTTTCAATCAGACGAAAAATAAGGGAGCCATCTAAAATTTCTCAGAAACTGTCCACCTATGATCCAGACAAAATAAAAAATAAAACTTTTTTTTTACCATGACAAGTTTTAATCCCATGTGTTAGGGCATCACAATGTATAAATGATAATTCAAATACAAACAAGAGCACGAACCTGTTTCTGATCTACATTTCATCACATTTCCCCACTGTATCTTAATACACGATATAATTAGGTCAAACTTACCGGCAACTTGAACCATTCGTCAATACGTGTTTGGGGTACCTTTCCACGTTTTGGACGAATCAGCACGTAGATAGTTCGAATTTCCGAGCAGGCATAAAGGATTTTCTCGAGCAGCACCTATTAATTTGTAAACGTGATAATAGTTATAAATTTTAAATTCATCCTAGAGGTTTGAAAATGCATCACCTTTCCCATGAAACCGGATCCACCTGTGACAAATATTGTCTTTCCGGAGTACCATGTCTGGACTGGTGTTAAAGGCATTTTGGACTGTAAATGAAAAGAAAAAAAATATTGGAAGTTGTAATGAGATATTCCTAACATAAAACGCCAATCTGATTTCACAAGCTACAGCGATTGAGTATAAACTTCAAAATAATTTGATTTGATAATTGATGAGTATTTTTTATGGCATGGTGTTTTTTTATCTTGTTGAAATGTGTCTTCCTTGCAAAAAAAAACTAATTTAAGGAAAACAAGGTAAATTCAAAAGGACGTTTCTGCTTTTGTAAACAAAGATTTAAACATTAATTTTTCAGAACTAATAGCTCGCTGGTACAATCTAACACCACCATCAGGTAAGGATTCTCCAACATGGTGGTGGTGTTAGTTTGCATAGGCGAGCTGAGTGTTTAGACAAATTGACATTCAAATATTTGCTTAGAAAAATAAACACCTCTCACTAAGATTATTTTACAGAAATCTGTGAAATTTTACCGAAATATCAGCAGCTGAACGTTCGGTTGAAAAATTAACGAAATATTCGTTGAAAAATTACAGGAAATCTGTGAAAAATCACCGAACTGTTAACCTGATGAGATTTCGGTAAAATATCACAGATTTCGGTAAAATAATCTTAGTGTGCTCCTTTTGAAAATCCATCTTTGATATTGGGTCTTTTTTGATTACCAAACAGCTTTGGTCCGAAGGGTCATTGATTCCTATGAAACTTTGCCATGTTCATGGATATATTAAAAAAAGTAAATTTCAAAAAAAATCAGGATAGCCAATTTTTCCGGAACTACTCATGGATAAGGTAGCGTACACTCCAAAAATTTATCACATATCTAATGGATGAAATCCATGGGAATTTCACATAGATTTCCTATGATCACATAGCAGCAAATCCCACCACAAAATCACATGAATATTATGAGGCCGATGAAATTCATGTGAAAAATCACATAAAGTATTTGTGATCGCATAATTTTTTTCCTTTGTGTGCTGGATAACACGATCCGCCCCATCCTTTTTCATCTTCTCGAAGGATGTTTGCAAACCTTTCATAAGTTTTCTTGGCACGTTTATGGTTTTTGCTTGCAATGATTTGTTTACTCTGTCATTATTATTGAGGATTCTCTCCCATAGTTTGAGAAGATAAAGAAATTTAAAATCAATTGGTTTCAATAAACCTTGAGTCCCGTACAACGTGGTACCATAGAGGTAATTCTAAGACCAAATGGTCCCAAAGAAACGAGCTAAACTTTTTGGCTCAGCTCTGGTACTATCTTCGGTCCCAAGCTAATCGGTGCACCCCTCGAAACATAGGAAAATCCACGAACCCCTCATTTTATCTGTCAAACTTTCATAGCGAATCAAAACAAACATAGAAGCGTTGGAAGAAATCTTCCATTTCTGTAAATAAGAAGAGAAAATATCTAAACTTTCCTGTAGTCTGCTGCAAATAACACGAAGACTTCTTCCTTTAGCGAAAATGCCTGTGTCATCAGCGAATAAAGATTTGTGGCAACCCTGAGGCAAATCAGGGAGGTTCGAAGTGAAAATGTTATTCAATATAGGCCCAAGAATGCTACCCTGAGGAACTCCTGCTCTAACAGGTAGTCGTTCAGCTTTGGAATTTTGATAATTTACCTGCAGAGTTAAATAATTTTGAACTAATTTCATAATATAGAGTGGAAAATTCATGCCAAACACTGTCGAATACTTTTTCTATGTCTAGAAGAGCAACTCCAGTTGAGCAGCCTTCAGATTTGTTTGAACGAAGTTGAATGCCCATGACGAAATCCAAACTGCTCATCTGCAACAATTGAGTTCGTATTGATGTGAAGCATCATTCTATTCAAAATTATCTTTTCAAAAAGTTTACTTATTGAAGACAGCAAACTTATTGGACGGTGGCTAGAAGCTTTAGCTAGATTTTCATCCGGCTTCAAAATTGGAACAACTTTTGCATTTTTCCATTTATCAGGAAAGTATGCCAAATGAAAACATCTGTTGAATAATTTTACCATGGTACTCTCTGAGAGTTTTTTGATGTAGATATAGAAAATTCCATTATCACCTGGAGCTTTCATATTATGAAACTTTTTAGTTATAGATCTTATTTCGTCCAAATCAGTTTGGACCCCCATGAAGAGTTTTTCCGAGAGAAAATATTCAGATAATCCCGAGAAACCTGATTCTCAATAGGACTAGTAAGACCCAAACTGAAATTATGGTAACTCTCGAATTGCTTAGCAAGTTTCTGAGCTTTTTCCGAATTTGTGATCAAAATCTTACCACTTTCTTTAAGCGCTGGAATAGGCTTTTGAGGTTTTTTTCAAAAAATTTGTGAGTTTCCGAAAGGGTTTGGAACTCGGGTCTAATTTAGAAACAATATTTTCTAAAGTTTTGTTCCTTACGGCAGAGAATCGCTTTTTAATTTGTTTTTGCAAATCCCGCCAGATAACTTTCACGGCAGGATCGCGTGACCTTTGATATTGTCTCCTACGGACTTTTTTTTAAGACGGATCAAGAGCTGAAGATCGTCGTCTGTTATAATTGAATCGAATTTAATCTCGCATTTTGTTACTGAAGCAGCTCTTGCTTCAACTATAGAAGTAGTCAGAGATTCAAGAGCATAATTAATTTCATTTTTGGTTTGCAAAGGAATGTTTGGATCAAAGCTATTTTTCATAAATGTTCGATATTGCTCCCAATCAGTAATTGAAAGTAGAGCTGTTGGGATTAGAAATTATTTCTTGGGATATTTCAAAAGTAATTGGAAGGTGATCAGAACCGAAGTCAGCATGGGTAACCAATTGGCTACAAAGTTAACATGAATCAGTTAAGGTCAAATCAATAGTTGAGAGATTTCTTACTCAAGGAAAGCATGTTGGGCTGTTTGGATATTGAATAGTGTTATAACCTGCAGAACAATCGTCAAACAGAATATTACCATTGGAATTGCTTTGAGCATTATTCCATGAGCGGTGTTTTGCATTAAGGGGAGAAATACAAGTAAAAAAATTTTTTTATCGATTTTTTTATATTTTACCTTAATTTTTTTTTTAAATGCTACGAGCACAAGGAAGGAATGATCTATGGCCCCGGTATCGCCGATTAACCGTAAGATCCAGAGATCATGTTTTTACACAACCCAAAACTTTAAACGCGTTTTTCTCTAAACGGTGTTTTCCAAATTGGCGGGAAAGATAACTCAAATCCAAATGACTTGAAACCTGGCGCATCTTAAAGGAAATAGATTTTTACTCTATGTGAACCACTGATATCATGAAAAAAGTAACAATAAATAATTTTCAGGCCTGCCTTAAGTGAAAAAAAACAGTGAAAAATCAACTTTTTTTTTTCAGATATTTTTTTCTAAATTTTAAAATCGTTTTTTTTTTTGTTTTAGAGGTTCACATAGAACAAAAATCTTTTCTGAATAAGGTTCAATTGATAAAAGTAACTTTTGTCCATTTTCAGGTCTCTAGAACGCCAGCCAATTACCAATCCCCACCGGAGGCCACCTCCTTCCGATGTGACCCCAAGGAGCCACAGAGGTCACACACCAATGAAAGGAAGATTTAAGCAATTTAATGCAAAAAATCCCAAACGTTTGCGTTGTTTCATTTGTTCACAAAAAAATTCCGAAGGATCGAAGAGGAATTTTTCAAATCGATATCCAAGAAGGATTACCTCGGGTAGGTTTCAAACAAAGATCGAAGAGGAATAAGAGGTAGGTAGAAAGGTAGAAAAATTTTCAGGTTTATTGGGCACTGAAAAGTTTCCTTCAGCAAAAAGCAAATAGAGCACGATGCAGACTGTTTAGGGAACCCATGCTTTCTTCATTTCTTCTACATTCTTCACCACTTTAGGGCGTTTTAGAAGGTGCTCCTTCATAACGGCCCAGTATTTTTCTATTAGGTGCAGTTCCGAAGTGTTTTGGGGGTTCAGATCTTTCGGCAAGAAATCGACATCATTCGCCTTATACCACCTTAGCACGTCTTTCGTGTAGTGGCATGATGCCAAATCTAGCCAGAATATCATTGGACCGTCGTGAGCCTTCAGGAGAGGGAGAAGCCGCTTTTGGAGACACTCTTCTAAATACACCTGTCCATTCATGGTGCTTGCGGTAACGAAAGGTGTACTCCGCTTTCCACAAGTACAAATCGCTTGCCAAATTAAGAACTTCTTGGCGAGCTTCAACATCTTCTGTGTCCAGGGGTTCTAGGGAACATCGCACTTATCCTTGGCAGTCACATATAGGTTTCCTGGAATCTGGTTTAAGTCCGCCTTCATATATGTCTCGTCATCCATTACGCAGCAGTGTGGTTTCGTTAACTTCTGGTCATACAACTTCCGGGCACGGCTTTTTCGGACCGTATTCTGTTTCTCGTCACGGTTTGGGGGCTTTTGAACCTTAAACGTACGTAGTCTAGCTCGAGTTTTGGTATTCTGCACGAAAGTCTTGGTCATATGCAACTTTTTAGCCACATCTCGAACTGAGGCGTTCGGTTTCCTTTTAAAGGCCTCAATCAAGCGTTGGTGATCGTTCTCGTTAACCTGATGGCTTTTGCGGATCTTCGCTTCTGATCAACAGTCATACGTTTTTCGAACCGTTTTATGATACCAGACACCGTTCGGTTTCCGTTTAAAGGCCCCAACCACGCGTTTGTGATCGTTCCCGTTGACCAGACGGCTTTTTTTCGGACCTTCGCTTCCGATCAAGTCAGACGTTCTTCGAACCGTTTTACCAGACACCGTGGAATTCGGGATTCCCAACTTTTTTTCCGATGGCACGATGCGACAGACCCTTATGCTCAAAGTACTAGTGCAAAACTTTTTTGCGCATGCACTGTTCTTTTGTCGCCATTTTGAAATCTTTTGCGCACTTGATAAAATCAACTCACAGAGTGTAAACAATACACATTAAACTATGTCTACGCAAAATTTAAATTAATTTTACCCAACGGATCAAAAGTTAGAGCAATTTGAGTGTGTGCAGATTTTAAACGGTACACCCTTTAGTCCAGTGTTCCGATGTG